TTTCTAGGCTCAATGTCGTAGACAGTCCTGTCCAGTGTTGACGAGAAACTAACTCGACTACAGAAGGTTGGTATTCTCCAAATGACCAACTACTTGGTGTGGACTGCATCGATGAAAGTGTTCATGAACACTAATTGAACCGTCCGCCTGCGCGAACTTCTCCACTGGTTTCGATGAACTAAATACAAATCAGTAACTTCTGCCTTTTCCGGGTGAGTTGTTCGCGAGACTGAATGGGAACACGAGTTTTGCGAAGAATGATTCGACTGAAGACGTGGAACAATCCTGAAAACTTCTGACCATCAATACACACTACCGTCTGTTCTAGTACACTCAACTGCCGTTTGATGTTACGACGGAACCAGTCGCGATTCGCGAAATCATGTAAACTATTATGAAGGATACTTCGGTTTTGCCCTCTAGTTGAAAGATATCATCGTCACGGGTTCCCACCCCGAAAAACTGTGACAGCGCCTTGATTACGTCTTCAGAGTTCACCGCGAAAAATGAACCTTCTTCATGTGGTCGATAAAGTATCCTGTTCTCATCACTAACGAACACGGCTGCCGACCAAAACCGAAAAGCACTGACGCTATCAAGCGCATGCCAGCACCTGCAGACGTAACACCCCTCAGACCGATCTACGGTCCCGTCAACCACTACAGTTCGTTCCTGCCAACAATCCATCGTCTCCAAGGCTCACTAGACTAGCTACACACTAGGAACTACAAGTGGACGTGGGCAGAAGAGTGCTAACACACATTTGAATCTATCAAATCTATGCTTGGTTCTGACTTGCTTCCCACCGTCACTGGAAATCGTTGTAGTAGCGGACTATTGTAATGGTGTGAGTCATCAATGAAAACTTACGGTCGTGGCAGCAACCGACCGGACCCAGGCCTCGACTTCATCTCAACCAAGTAGTACTAGCGGCGCTCCGGCCGTAGTAAACGCATATAGTAGGTGACCGGAAGTCCTTCAAGCGAACAGTCCTACAGTTGCGACCACAATCCTGGAACTTACGCGGTCATTCAGCCATTTCGGAACTTCAGACTATTGTAACCGACAACTGCAGTCACTTCACAGCACCAGCGCTTGTAGAATCCTATCGGGAGTATGGTGTAACCCACGTCAGCTCGCCTCCATTTCACCCAGTCGAACGGCAATGCAGGACGCTTGGTTGATAGCCTAAAGCGCCCAATTTCCAAGTCCAAAGAGGCGGAGCCGACAGAATAGACTTTGCAGACATATCAAGCAACGCTGAACCCGAATTCGCCTGATAGCGTCACTGGTAGAGACATTGCTCTGACGGAAGCTTCGAACGCCGCATGACACTATCCGACCAAAGAAAAAGGAACGCAGGTGGATGAACAAGTCAACCGGATTCACGGCACAGTCGAACGCTGCTTCAACAAGGGTCAGAGAATACTGAATCCCGACTACAGTGCCAGGCGCCCTAAGTAGATACCAGAGTACATTCTTAGCCGGCGTTCCAGTGCTGTGCGAGACTCAAGTTAGTCCCGCCAGGTGAATCCAACGTGAAACCAAATCCCGTCAACAATGTCCGTTGAACCGAGTGGCTCACGTTCAGAGGAGCTTCTGGATACCCTTGATCTCAGCTACACTGTGCAAATTCCACCAGCTGCTCCGTTGGAAGTTCAGTCCGAATAAGCAGTAAGACCGCGACGCTCGACAGACAATGGGGCCACTGCAATTGAACTCCCGGTTTCAAAGCTACGTCGGCATACTTTAAGGGGGTGTAAGGCGGGACCCTACGCCGAAGCCGCTCGCAAATAGGTGCCGTTACGGTTGATGGGCCTAACACACACGCGACCGACTGGAAGAGCTGGCCTCTATTTAGTCTAGGTGAGCTCTGATTGGTGAACCCAACAGCCAGTCACGCCAATGCCGCGTCCGGAATCCCAGAACGCTATCAACACATACAATTGGGACACGACATGCTGTATATGGAATTCCGACCTGTTTTGGGTGTTTGACACTACTCTTGGTAGTTCTTCCGAAAACGCTGGCTTGGATCTGATTGAGAACGGAGATGAAGCATTAACCCTACTACATGAAGTATCAGCCACAACGCAACTTTGTAGTAACCAAACAGTGACTTTCTACCTGTGACGTCAGTACACACCAAAGCACATTTTCGGCCGCGGTATGAACTGACTACAATTGGATGTCAACCAGTCCTAACCTGGTGAAAGACCCCTCCCGAAGAGAATCCATTCCGACAACCACATTGTGTCCAGTGGCTCAGCATAGGAGGCCTTCATATGTATAGCCCCATATCTTCCTAAGCACTTGTAAACAGCAATTCGATTATTGCTTATTAACTCTTGACATTTCACCTATGGTATCTATTAGGAAATGCCTTCAAATTTGCGCACGTGTCTCATTATCTCAAATGAATATTACTCCGTGCTCGTTTACCATAGCATTTCTCGTCACCTGGGAGGGGGTAATGGGGAACTGTGAGGAGGCGGTGACGAGCAATTAATGTGAGTGCGCTATTCTATGTACGTGATTGATAACGAATATTCAGTTTACCATACGCCAGTTACAGTACTCGTGAGGTCGCTGAAAAATCTTCGACAACCAACGACCGGCTTCGCCCTCTTCGGGGCTCATCTGATTGACGGAGCCCTGGAGTTTACGTCAGTCTTATGCTCTGCTTGAACCTAAATTGCACGAAAACGCTCCGACAGCCCACGACGGCTTTCGAAGTGCTTTCAACAGCCTTATGAGTAGTGTACTGTCTACACAATGCATCGCGATATCCCTAATATCGTACCAACTGAAACACGAGGCGGCCTGGTGCAGCACATGCAGTTGAAGAACATAAACGAGAGGTTCAGCTGGGCTCCAGGTGTCTCCCGTCAAAAACAAATGAGTGCGAAAACCAATTCGAGTTGAGGTGCTCAATGCGCATATAGCTATCATCGGGATATTATGCACCACAATGTCCACGTTCATCAGTGCCTCCTGCAACGGATCAATGCAGCCGGAGCCTTCGAGCGTGAAAAGTGACCGGCACGTTATACGCTCGTGCACCTTTAGCAACTTGTTCCGCTATCAAAATGCACCCACCTGACAGTTAGGACTTTAGGGCCCACAGTGACGTTCCCGAATTCACTGCTGTTTTGTCGAGTGGCTCAGCCAAGGTAGGCGCTGATGATACTTATGAGGCTACGCTGTCCCGTTGAACTCGAAAATAGTCAGTGAGTTCGTGGTGCGTTGACAACAGGTTATCCCCAAATACGACAATCAGCTAAGATTCCGACAAATACTCTCATTCGTACACGAATTTGGTCTTGACAGGAGAGTCTAGTGAATCCAGCTGAATCTCTGGTTTATGATAGTGAGTTCCGACTAAATGTGCTGCACCAGGCCACCTCATATTGCAGTTGGTCTGAACGTAGCACACTACTTATAAACGGGGGATTCTGTTGGATTCAGTTGAGCCCGTCAAAACCAAATCCGTGGGCAAATGAGAGTACTCGTCGAAATCTACCCAATTTAGGTTCAAGTGGAACATAACACTAGGGGGAATTAGGGCACTGTGCCTACCTAATGAGCTCTAAGACGGGCAAACCGGTCACGGACTGTCGTAGAGTTTCCAGAAACTTTATGAGTAGTGTGTTACGTCTAGAGCGAAGAATAGTTTCCCAAATATCGTAGCAAGATTGCTGGTTGTAGAACGAAATATGCTAACCATACCCTAAAGTGTGGAAACGGCAAGGTTTACGCCTATGGGATACTCAGTAGCATACAAAGTAGTAAATCTCCTCAATACGCTCAACATGAGTCACATAGAAGCCCGTAAGATGTCAAAGTTCCCAACTTGAGGGCGACTTCTGAACGCCGTAAGCGTGCTATTCATGAGCCAATCTATCAAAGTAACCTCCATGAACTGTCACGTGAACTCATCGGAAAATCCATTGGGTGAAAAAAATCGGTTGTCGTCCATTGTTGTCATGGGGAATAGGCCGATAACATAATGGTTGCACTAGCTTAAGGAGAACCCAAAACCTGTCCCCCTCGCCCGGTTGTCTCCCTTGGGAGACGACGGTATGATTCGAACGAGGCTAATGCGGCAGCACAAGACTGAAAACTAAGGTTGATGCAGAAACATTCATAGAGTGACAGTGTCTGACTATTCCGAGCTGTTCGTATCGACTCTACATCCGTTAGCCGCAATGAATGTTATTCTTTCGGAACAAACACTTGTGCTGATCACGATACAGAGAAGAGCAACTCGCTGACGCAACATAAGTGACTTCCTCGTGGAAATGACATGTCGAGTAGTAAGCTGCGTCATGACCCTTAGGAAGAGTGGCATCAGCACCACAACCGAAAACACAGGCAGTCGTGCAAGGAATTTCGTTCCACATAGGAAACATGTCAGTGTTTAGCAGTACTCCACATCCGAAGATGGGTTTACTTGGACTTCATAAAAGGATACAAGCAGGACTGTGTAGTGAAGGAGAATAGACGTGTTAGCTCACTCACAAGTGGAGCGACATAAACAGACGAACACGAATGTACTCTCACATTTGTGTGGGGGTGTATGTATGGAACAAACGGTGCACGTCATTTCGTGGTTTCCTTATGGATCAAACGATAGGGCCACAGTGGAAGAAAACGGAAGAGAACAATGGCAGTTGCTTCCCGGTTATATCCATCCACTCATCTAACAGTAGAAAGAAGTGGGGGGCGATGGGGAAAATAACAAGAAAATGGGGGTTCATTCAGGCCAAATCAAAGCAACGGTCATGCCAGATGGAGAAGCAATTTATGTCCACAAATAGAGTGGGTAGAATGGGGTGACAGCATATGCGTTCGAATTAGCCTGTTCGGGTCACAACGGGTTCGTAGGCTACTCCGGTTGCTCGTATGGAGAGAGAACAAGTGAACTACCGTGGATCCGTTCTGCAAATTGGCGGAACAGGTGGATAGCGCCGAATAGGAACAAAACCAATCGACCTAGTCGAGTAAGCGTATACAAGAAGTTTCCAGCAGAAATAGGAAAATAAACAGCCAGGCGCTGGATTGACAGAGACAGACCACAGCTAGATTCCATTTTCGAATCTGATTTATTAACCCGGAGAAAAAATTAGGGTAGCTAGAACAGCAACGAAGGTGATACTTTCATCACTCTCATCGGCATTTGCTGGAGGTAGCCTAAGGGGAGTTGGGGCTAAATGATGCAGAAGTGAACAGGGTAGCTCAGCGTTCTTTCAGGTAAGAGTGATTACCGGACGAATGGATAAATCAATTGTGAATTTTGATCGGTTTTTCGTTCGGAGCGTAGCGTGGACGTTTCGATGGTTTATGCTCCACACCTAACCACGGTTTGTATTCGGGGGCACAAGGGTGAGTGAAAACCTTTGTTCGAACTATAGGATCCTCATCATTCGGAATGTAGGTGGCTTCGGTAGGAAACATGACAGCAAAGCGCCATCGTTCAAACTCCTTTTCTGGAACCTCAAGGCGGCGGCGTATACGTTCGCGGACGGCACTATAATGCTCTCCATCACGAATTCTAACGGTAAAGGGTATGCCAAATGCAACATGTAGATCTTTGTCGAAGTGGGAAACATAGACAATGGTCTCGTCTGGTTTCAAATTAACCTCATCTATGGGCACTTCTTCAATGCGAAGGCTGTGGACGGGGGGATTGGAGACACAGGTCTGTGGTAAAAGTGTGGACTGTGATATGGAAGAGAGTTTCAAGTTGGGAGAAAATTCCTGGATGATACGATTGCCCGATATCTCCAAAAGGCGCAGTTGGCCAGACCCGTCTGAAGGAAGTGAGAGATGACGGCTAGCCTCTTTTAGGAGGTCCGACACAAGACCGTTCTGTGGAACCGACAGCAATAGTTCCGCCTTGATGGAAAGCTTTGGCCCCACAAAAACTACGCGAACCTGTCTCATAGTCTCAAGTTCATCGATCCGTATGGCTAGATGGGCGTAGTAAATACGTCTCGGGGGCGGGAAGGTCATCGTCCCGAGTGGTGACCTATGGACTGTCTTGACACCACAGTACCGATTCAGAGGAACGGGAAAACGATCCGGAATCGAGTTGGCGGATGCAGTAGTGTTCGCGGCTCCAGTTCCAATACCAGAACCAAGTCCTGTTGGTTCTGAGTACCAGACGCTATTTGCTGGGCTGACAGAAAAAGGAACGAGAAAATCTCTCATTGATCCTTGATGCGTTGAGGGAATAGCAGCTCCTGGAGGTTCGTGAGTAAGTCCTTGTCCAGCTGCCGCGGCAAGCAGGCTGCTCATATATGGCGAACAATTCGAAAACCCTGAAAAAAAATGAGAAGCCCATCAGTAGAAGCGTGTCAAATCTGACCAAAAGTCTAGCAATAAGGTAGAAAAATGGTCAAGCATAAGCAACCAATGATAAAAGATAGACTAAAAAGTACCTGAAGCACGCGCCGCCATCTCCTGGAGTGATTCTCGACTCAAACCAAAGCATCCCGCAGAAGCTCCTGAAGCTATGTTTTCTTGAGACGCTGCCGTATTTGCAGTGGGCACACCAGAGGCTAAATCGGACCCAACCGGGGAGGCATTCAGATCAGATGCTGACGTGCCTAGAGGCGAGACGGAAATGGGTGCCGTCAGAGCATTCGTCGTTCCTCCGAGAATTTGCTGAGACCGGAAAAACTGGAGCCGATCACTTGTAGTGGAAAGATGAGCAGCAGCGAAATTGGCGAAATCCCAATACGTCAGGTCGGCAGCAACGCGAAGCAAGATACCCGGATCTGTTGGACGAAGCTTGTCCACGAGCAAAATATCCACCTTGAAGAGAGAGAAAAGAAACGTTTACACAAGTATGTGCTTCTTCACTTCATACGGACCGAAACCAGTGTTTTTAATACTGTGTGGTTCTAGTAGAACACACTTGCAAGTCTGCATTCGATTCACAGGGATAACTGTGCGATACTTAAAGCTCAGCCTCAACGAGCCAAAAACAAACCAAAAGTACATGAAATCTATTTAATGAAGTAAGCACTAATGTTATCATCACTCTCACTTGAGCACATGTAGGTGGTTTGATAAGATGTTTCCAAACAACTCACGCGAAAGTGGAGCAGCAGACTCACTACTCAGGTGCACGACGTTACGAGTAACGCAGGTGGTTGTCGCTAAACGGACAGCACAAAGTTTCCTTGAATAGCACAGCTTGCTCAATGGGCACATTTGTAAACCGGATGTAGTGAGTGAGGGACATTTCGTGGGTACTTGGGCGGCTGTCATCCGATGCGGATCTGCCAGTTAACGGTAGTCTCACCAATACAGCAGGCGAAACAGTTGATTTTCTCGTACGGTCATTCACAGCCCTCCTGCCACCGCTGTGCCTGAAACGTCGTACGTATGCAATCTCCAGGCCGCATTGTAACTCAGGCAGGGCTTGTCTTGGCTGGGCCTCCGGCATATCGACCAACTACACGTTTATTCGCTCGCCTTAGAGCCCGAAAGTATCGCATGGTTGAAAGTACGCATTAGTTTCCCCACGAGGTTATGTGGATTAAAAAGTCAGCAATCGTTCCGACTACATTGGGCTTGAATGGGCAGACAGTTTGCCGCATGAACTTCCGACCGGAAGGCTCATAATTCAAGTCGGCCTCCTGACACACGACCACTGTCTTGGGTTCCCTACAGTTTCAGGCACGAAAATGCCATCATTACTAGTTGACCAGATCTGACTAGTGCTGGAAACACGCCACATTCGACGCGCATCGCTTTGTCACTTAGCAAAGTGCACCGGTCGACACAGAGCCCATGCTCATAGACCAGCCACCCAGTGAAGCATAGTTGGCCGCATTTACACCTAGAGCCGGAAAAAAGCCCTTATCATAAGGGGTGGGACAAATATCTTAGCTGGCTAATCCAAAAGGTATAGTGCGTTTATTATGCTACCTCTGAATATTCTTTGGAACACTAGTGACCTTGATGTCTATTCTACGGGACATTCTAAGCATATGATGACCTGAAGGCGGCTCACACAAAAGTTGCAAATGCGTCACGTCGTATTCTTATAACCAGTGCCTTTTCGCTATATTCTGGGATCTCGAAGGTTCCAAGATTGGAACGTGGGTTTACTACATGGAAGGCAACCAACCGATTAAATGAGTATGGCTGGAAAAGACGGAGAATAAGATGGCGATCGCTTGAAAAACTGTCAAATGTGAACCAATAATTGGTTTAAAAGTGAATCACAGTTCATCCTCATCCTCTGAAAAAGCGGTGACGTAACCAAACTCGAAATCAAACCCTTAGACAAATTGCATACATTTGAAATGAGGATCTCGTTACACTGCTTTGAATGGGCATGCACAATCCATAACTGTTATTTCGTCGATTAGCAATTGGTTCAGAATTTCCTCAGTAGTGTTGGTCTTCGTTTCGATCGTTAAATGCTGTAAGCTTTTCAAATGAAATTGATAAGCGCGTGAATCCTATAGGCCATGAAACCACCTACAACCAATTCGAAAATTGTCCAGGTTTCGGGCGTCTTTGGTGCTACCCGACTGGGAAGTCCTGACAGGCAGGCCAATCGATCGACATAACCAGTGTAGTCGTTCGAGGGCGTCGGGTAGAACAATCACAGCACCGAAGCGCGAAAATGTTCACCTATTCAGGCGTGCGTCTAGTGTGCGTTGATGGAATAACACACTCGCCTTGCATGTCGTTTATGGCGAGTTCAAACCTCAGCACCTCCAAGGATATGCACTGTTGATGAGCCCTAATAAGAACTGAATTCGAGTCCAGTGCTTCTGCACTTGGTGTGGACTCATCAAGATGACTATGCTAAGACAGGAGGACGACTTTTCAAACGAGTGATGTGAGCGTGAGCTTGGGACGTGTCAATTGACCAAAAGCTACGGTTTTACAATGAAAAAGGTCTGTGTGAGCATTACTGCAATTTGGTATGTGCACTACTGCAACCCAGATGAGTATGACAAGGGCGGTTGATGAGTGTCTATGGACTCATGCTGGCTCATGTGATTTAATACAGCAGCAGAATGAGTTGAAACTGAGCAGTCATGCCAGTGAGTGACAGTATGACGAAGGGAAAAATAGGAGAACCACTTGCGCAAGAGGACAGATGACGCAAAAGTGAAGGCGTCGTTATGACAGATGACGTTATAACAATAGCATAATGTATATGTCTCTAGGATTCCCTGGACTATCCCCATTTCGCTCCTCAAATATGCCGCGGCATCCACATTGCCTCCGAAGCCTCAGCGATCCATCTTTTGGCCTACTAGACTTCTACAAACTGGAGAAATACTTAAACTGACCAGCTTCGTCCGAGAACTAATATGAAAGAAGTTTTACTTTTATTTGCACAGTCAGCCTAAACCTCCGTTCTACCTCAAACCATGTGATATCCGTGTAACGTACAAAAAGTTCAGGTATGGGTTTGTTGATGACGAGATACCGGAAGCCAAATGTGTATGGCTGTATATGGAAATGGGGGATGTTCCTTGTGCAGATCCGTTACAACAAGCTTCTTTCCAATTCTAGTGTATTCTCCGTATGCTGGTGTTACGGTCAATTAAGGATGATCAGGTCAAGTAAACACCCAACAGAAGTGACCGTAAATGCTGAGGATCCATGCACTCTCGGCTTTGGTGAAATATCTATATTCCATAAAGATGCTCGGTCGAGTGGGCATTTGGTTCTGAAAGCAAAATATGATGTTTAATGAAAGGAAGACCTCAAACATTCGGTAATGTCCGCGATTCATCGTCACATACCTGGTGAAGATAACTGGCAACATAGTTGTAGATCGATTGCGGGTCGCCCGGAACGAATGAGTGCGCATGAGTGACAAGTGGTGGGAGGTTGGTCTGAATTCCACCGACTGCACCAGTGGTCACGTTAGATTGCGTCAGTTTTGAACTCATCATTGAATTCGGCATCGCAGCCAGACGATGCAAAACGGTCGGGTCGACAGTGGTTGGTGTTGGTTTTCCCGACTCTGGAACGACATGATCAGTTAGAGATCGACGTGACACGGGAATCCCGTTGACCGTCTCTAAAGGTTGAGTGGGACGAGTAGAGGCCTCGGTGCTTGTAGTGGAAACGCTTTTCACAGAAGATTCATCAACTAGATTGCTCAGGGCGTCCTTTCCAACTTCTGGCGAGCTGTCCGCGGTAACTGATGTAGGCATCGAAAGGTGTGGTTGTTTTACCTGTGTAAGCCAGAGACATAACCAACATCAAAAAGTGTTACGGGATGAATAATAACTCACAAAGTACCCATTCAAATGCATGGAAGGGCGCACGCTCTGTATACTGACCAAAATATTGCTCTTTTGAGCAGCGATCTCCCGGGCACACACAATGAACCGAACTTTCGTAGTACTTTGCCGTACAGCTGTGATAGACATTTACTGATACGAGAGTTCAGTTCGGAGTTGTTCTGGTGATTTACTGACAACACACTTGGATGCAATCGTCGTGCAGAACAGCGACAGAAAAATAAGTTGTCTTCGTCAGAATTTGTTGTGCTGGATGAACTTGACGATAATTGACGTTGACTCTCGTTAAATATAACGAAAAATTCAAGAAAATAACAAGCGAAAAAAGAGAACACCTCTCGGTTGGTGACGGACTGCACTTCGCCTTTTATCTCCAAGTTATAAATCGCCTAGTTCATGGTTTGCCTTAATGCCGCTTTCTTCGTTGTCGTTACACAGGTTTGGGAACACTGAAACATGCCCAGGATTCAAGGTATATACTCTCTTGAACTAGACAAAAAAACTTAATGGGTATATTATTTCTATAAGGTCACACCTCTTATGCACCACAAATTCGAACGCTATTATTTTCGGAGCAACTATTATAGTGTTGAGGTGGGTAAGATTCTAAGGCTAAATCTAAAGATACAACCTAACATGGTTCGGGTTTTCGACCGTCGACAGTCCATCGAACGAAGTACTCTTGACCGTTCTCTAATACAAACTTTTGTACGTGTGGAAGCGCTGTACGTCAGTTTCATGGGCTGCCCTATTTGCGTCACTGTGGAAGTCTTAGACTAAAGTACACTGTCGTACTGCATCAGTGCCATTAGCAAAACTAATTGCATCCCATCCAGTGATTTCCGAATGTCTGTCACTGCCACCCCCCTGAACGGCCCGTAGCCGTAGTTCTGAATGCGGCATCATACATGCACAAGACACTTTTCAAGCTGGGTCGGCAGGCCTCTCCCTTCTCGTGGACACATCTTGTGAGGTAGCCTATCTTTCGACTTTTAACAATTATTTATCGAACCATTTTGACCTCTTCTCAGAAATATACCCTCTTCTGGGACACCTTTTGAAGAACATTTTACTCCGTTCCAGCAACAATCCACAAAGTCAATCGTCTGTGAAACATCTTACGTTACATAGCTCCACGGTTTCGATGGCTTTCCGCCGCGTCATATCTGAGAACCATCACGGTTTATCGCACTTCGGGTTATGTGCTTCAGTCAAGTTGATCGTCACCTGCTGCACATGGGGAATAAAGATGTTCGAGAGTGGACCCAAGCAAGTGAACCGTAATACTGAAACCGCTAAGACAGTTTGCGTCACCCGACGAACGTTTGCACCATGTGCACGTTGACCTAGTTGTTTTGTTGCCCCTATCGGAAGATATCGTCTACCTTGTAGCCGTTTTTTTCCTAGACGGTCTGAGCTACCCCACACACGACTGTTCTTCCGAAGGCATCAACCAGGCTTTCCTAAAATGCCATCTAACTCATTTCGAAGAGACCGTATCTTAGCGTGATGTGACATACACACGACTGTTCTTCCGAAGGCATCAACCAGGCTTTCCTAAAATGCCATCTAACTCATTTCGAAGAGACCGTATCTTAGCGTGATGTGACATCTCGTGTACCTCAGAAATCCATTGAGTTATTTCGAACGACATCAATGCAACATCCATAGAGGTTGTCCCATTGGGGTTATTCAGTGGATAAAGGTCTGACAAACAATCTCCCCTTCAAATTGGGGGATTGAACATGCATGACTTGTTTTCCCTTAGAAGTCATACTGTTCCGGTAGTCTATGCCAACCAACATAGTCTTCTCGTCAGGCTGTTGAAAAAGAGTTTTCGCTGAGGAGTCCAATCAAACGACAGTAACATAAAACAGTGGATAGTTTCGGTTTCAAAAGCCTAAAATTGTATCCTAAGAACGCGTACGTATGCTCAGACAGTGAATACCGGTGAATCCCAGCGTGGGAAACAGACATGAAATTCCATCGCACCTCAACCAGAAAAACATCAAGACATTGTTCGTTCTCAAGGAAGCTCAGTGAGACAATGCCCGTTTAAAACTCTATAGCTCACCGGACAGGTGCACACACGTCGTACACCGTCGACCAAAGGACGACGCGTTTATCGATCAAACTAGTGCTAAGTATATTTGGGTGTGAGTCGTTCGGATTAGCAGTTGACCTCTTGTACAACTGTTCTTGAATCGACTCGTTTCACTGCAGTCGGGATACACGGGCTACAGCAAGTAGCAAGTAGAAAAAGGATCAGTTTTTAAGGTGTGAAATTCATGTAGAGCTTTCCATTCCACAGGTGTTTAAGTACATTAGCTCACGAATCTCAAGAGTGGTTTAGAAACGGAGTGGATGACCTAGAGCACGAAAACTTTGCTATCTAAGTTCGTCTAGCAGAGTAAAGTAAGATAGGATTAGCCGGGACAATCGAATGGCCCCATCCAAAAGAAGTGAAGGCTAAATACAATAAAGTTGGACCTGTGGATGAAACGCTCAGTCCCGTGCTGTACTGAGAAGCCATTGACATATGATAAAGCCGAATAAATCTGAGTAAGGGACATATAAAACGATGAGGATTTTGTTACTAATCAGTAATAAACTGTAATGGACTGTGAGTAAAAAAAAATAAATCGTTCAGCTGTAGCACTCTCCCGGTGCATAACTGTCATGCCACCCGAAGGTTGCACGAGGGCTGGGATACTGCCAGGTTGCCCAAGCCTAGACAGGGGAAATCGAAAGACAGGGGTCGGGTTGGAACCGCGGACCTTTCGGTCAGTAAATTCTCACTCTAACCACTTGGGCCACCTCGCCCCAATAGACTGTGAGTCACAAAAACATCTCCTTATAGGTGGAACCACTTGGAGATTAATCAAGTTTGGTGCCCTACTTTGTTACACACCATCGTGTCACTCAGATTTTTAATGTCATTAAGTAGGCCCTGAAATTTATATGATCGCGACAGTGAAGTAATCAGGTGGGCATTACTGAGCAATGCAACTAAGTGGATCACTTGCTGGCTGAATGATGAGCTGACGCAGAGAGGTGAGGCGAAACAGCAAACATAGTTGGACAATGTGGATGCCGAAAGCATTCAAGACACAAAAGTCAAGAGTGCTATATTTCGAGTGAGGAGTAAATTGCACGCGGTACTACTCCAGACAACTGAAGAGGCCCAAGACTGACAGGATATTATTGTTGTTTGAACTAGGAGCTGTAAAGTACAAGCGTGAAATTGTGAGACAAAACAGGTGAACAAGACAATCAGCTGATAGAATACCTGACAGTCAAGCAAGTGGTGAATTCATTTCTCATCATTGGCCGAATTGTGATTCGTTAAGCACTGGTGATTTATCGGCTACCCTTCTCCTTCACCGACAACTATAATGACGATAACTTAAAAGCTGCGGCGACGTTTGGGGCCACGAAACACAAATCAGAACAAAGAGGAATGAGAAGCATTGCCAGAACGCACCTGAAAGTAAATAAGTTGTCCCTGTAGTTCGCGTTTGTACAGTTTAGAAATTGGTGTCCGAAGGAGACTTATTTCGGAAACGGTTGTCTTTGGATCATCTTGGTATAGAATGAGAGGAGCATTCGCGGGTAGTCCAGCGCGTTCACGCAGAACCGGCTCCAATGACATAAATACGTCGTCGGCAGCCAACTCCACATGGCCGCAAAATGTCATAGACCAAGAGATTGGGTCAAAGTATTTGAGAAAGAATAGGCGCTTATCGGCGACTGGTTCCTGCTGCTCGGTGATCGGTGGCGATCCGATTCGACCGAAATTCGGTGAAGTAGGAGCAATTGCCAGGGGAGTTGGACAGCATTGTACAAAGAAGATATGCACATCCTTGGGTGTATACTGTAAAGGAGTATCACTTAGTTCCAGGAGCTGGATGGGTACATTTTTGCGCCTAGGTGGAAGAGAGAGCATAGCGGAAGAAGGTTAAGCAGAGTTATGAAAGCAGCCTTTGGAGTGAAATCACCATGTGTACAAATTAAGAATCTAAGCTACTTACCGTGGACGGAAGTGCCATAGTCGGATAGAATCCGCAGGATGGTTTAGTGACTTAGCAACTGCTTCTACCAATAGACCACGTGACGTCTGTTTGGGCACTCGGAGCATTCGACTGGGTAGCATTTCTGGATTGCATAACTCTGGCCCCTTTGAGAAAAATAGGACAGAAACCAATGTTTGGTGTGAGGAACACCAAAAACCAGATGCATGTTAAAATCGCCAAAACTAAATATGCTACAAAGACGTTCGATTTAACTAAATTATGGCTAAGGCGAGCGGAACTTTAGTAGCGTAAATAAGGAGTTAACTGTGCAACAGTTGCACTGAGCCGGTGCAGATCACCCTGATACTACTCAGGTGAAGTTATGAAAACAAAAAGGGAAGGAAAAGAACATCTTGAACTGGCTCGATCTTGTGCTTAATTGAGTGGTACAAACACGCTTTGTGAAGCCAGAAGCGGAAATCCCCATAACACCTTGAAACGGAGTCAATGGCACATTCGCTTATGCTCGATTGACCCGGTTTAACATATTTCATTAATTGGTTTTGAGTACCTTGTTTTTCACCCTTTCTTATTTCTACCTATTGGTGTCAATCAGCTTATAAGCTAACAAAAACTAAGACACGATCGGAAGTTGCTCATTTTAAAAAACGCCAGGCTCAACCCTTATGAGCAAATTCAACTTCATTCAAAATGAGTACACGACCAGGAGGCAATGCCTCGAATCAGCAGAATCCAGTAGAAAAAATGGTTCAGCTGTAACACTCTTTCGGTAACTAGCTGCCACGCCACCCGAGGGAAGCTGACTGAGGTTGCATTACGCATGTGACTGTGTGGTTGTATGGCCTCAGTTGCGCTGAGTCCCACCAACCTGTGTCAGCAGAAACAT